TGTGTGTGGTGTGGGTGTGCGTGAGTGTGTGTGTGCGTGTGTGTGTGTGCGTGGGTGTGTGGGTGGGTGTGTGTGTGTGTGTGTGCGTGGGTGTTGTGGGGGGTGTGTGTGTGTGTGTGTGTGTGTGTGTGGGCGTGGTGTGGTGTGTGGGTGTGTGTGTGTGTGTGTGTGTGTGCGTGGGTGTGTGGGTGTGTGTGTGTGTGTGGGTGGGTGGGTGTGTGTGTGTGGGGGTGGGTGTGTGGGTGTGTGTGGGTGGGTGTGTGGTGTGTGTGGGTGGGTGTGTGGGTGGGTGTGTGTGTGGGTGGGTGTGTGCGTGGGTGTGTGGGTGGGTGTGTGGTGGGTGTGTGTGTGTGTGTGTGTGTGGGTGTGGGTGTGTGTGTGTCGGTGTGTGGGTGTGTGTGTGTGTGTGTGGGTGGTTTATCAAGTTTTTTTTTTGTGTGAATATTTGTACTTGTGCCTTTTCTTTCTTAGCTGGCTCTTACTCCTCCTTTATCGTCAGTCTTCTCTTCCTAATCGTCTGGTTCCTCTTCCTCTCTTCTTCCTCCTCGTCTGTTTCCTTCTACACCTATTCCTTCTCCATCTTTTAATCTTTTTCATTGTCATATTCCTTCTATTCTTGTCCTTCCTCATTATCTGCTCATCTTCCTTCCCACTTTTTGCCCACTCTTCCCAGTCTCCCATGCTCCCTCCTTTTGTTATTCACTTATCTTTCCATTTGCCCTTCTCTATTTTTCGGTTTCTATTCCCCTTCACTAGTATTATTTCTTTTGTCTTCCTAGTTACCCCTCTCTGTACTCTCTTCTCTCTTCCCTTCTTCTCTATTCGTTCATTCCTCTTACCATTATCTCTATTCTTCCCTACATTTTCGTATTCTTCCCATTTCCATTCATCTTCCTATTCACCCTCTTATTCTCTCCTTCCTCTTATGATTCATACTCTATACCTACCTTCATTTTCCTCTTCCCTTCCTATTCTGCTTCTCTATTTCTACCTTCCTCTTAATTAAACAAGTTAAGAAAATAAAAAAAGCTTTGCAAATAAGAGTCTTGTATATATTACAGCAAACACAATTCAAAGTTCTCTTCTTCATACTTTATTTCTTTATCTTTTACTCGTTGAACTGCTGATTGCCAGATTAATGGAGAGAGAGAGAGAGACAGACACAGACAGACAGACTGTTATGTACAAAGCCAATGTTGCCAGAGGTTTCACAGTTGGCTCCACTTCGTTTTCATGAATACAGCTTCTACACAACAAGACGGGCAACCAACAGCATCTATACTATGGTTGTACCCTTCTGAAGAACATCATCTCATCTGAGATCATTCATTCCTAGAATGACTAGAGTCTGGAACATGTTCGTACAATATAACTACATCGATGAAATAGTTGGCCAATGAAATAGCTGGACCATAGATGGCTCCATTTCGCCCTATTCCTTATATTTGTCTCATAATAGTAAAAAAAAAAAAGGCTTTCAACTCTTAGCTTGTAAATAAAGGTAGGAATTCTTAACGTACCTTGTAAAACCTTTTGTGTAAATAAAAAAGAGCGAAAGAGAGAGAGAGAGAGAGAGAACTAGAAACTCACCATGTTTATCGTTTAACCACATCTGTCACCATCCTCCTCACCATTACCACAATCATCCTCACCACCTTCCCCTTCACTAGGTTAGGTTAGGTTAGGTAAGGTTCGTCAGGAAACAGGACAAATGTTTCCTGACGCGGGTCTTAGTCAGATGATGACCCGCCTTTGGAGCTTTTGGTCATCTGACTGAGGCCTTCCGCTGGCTTACCGGTCCACCCCTTTAAAAATTATGGTCATTTATAACCAATGTTACCTTTATTTGTTCCCCTTCACTTCCATCACCACCACCAGGGGATTCCTGAACCACTGGGATGGTCATACCGGAGGGTTATTGCACATGCCATAGATTCCATGAACCTTCTGGTTATAGTTCGTCAACAATGACAGTTTCAAGCTGATCGGATGAGGCGTTCTCGAGCCATAAACAAAAACATTGGATTAAGAAAAAAATACTGTACTTGATGAAGCCTCGAGTCACGAGACACCGTGTTGTCGCTCAGTGAAGAAGCGCGGTCAGGAGCTGTGACTCGGCCCCTGCAGCCACAAATAGGTGAGTACACACACACACACTAGGCAGCATATAAAGCTAAATTATTTAGACATTTTAAACCTGTGTATATATTTTCTTAATTATATATTTACAACAAATGCATAAAAATTCCTTTAATCAAAACAACATTTCTTTTTTTAGTGGGAAAGTCTAATTAATAATATTTTTGGAGGTAATTTTTAAAACTCCTTTATTGCTTCCTAAAACATAATAATTTTAACGCTCAGCGAAATTAAAAATATTTGAATTATGAATAAAAAAAATTTAGTATTAATGTAAATTCTATAAAATTTTAGTGAATTTTATTAACGTGTGAGACTTTTGTTATCTTTTAATTTTTCATAATATAATTAAATATTATTTATTATTATTATTATTATTATTATTATTATAATTTTCTCTAAGTCTATTAGAAGACATTCAAATAGTTGTCTTTATATCAAAACATTGGATTATTATTTTTATAATCAAGGGGGAAGCGCTAAACCCGGAGGATTATACAGCGCCTAGGGGGGATGTGGAAGGCATTCAGGCTTAATTTGGGGAACTGGAGCACAGATCCAATTCCCTAAATCAAGAGCCCCTCACCAACATCAAGGAACCTTCCTTGAGGGGATCAAAACAATGGAGGAATATTTTGAACTGTTAAGCATTGTAAGTTCTGCAGGATGGCAGGTGCTACCCTAATATTCTAATGGTAATCATAACCATGATTTTTAAAGAGGTAAGCCAGCGGAAGGCCTCGGTCAGATGACCGAAAGCTCAAGCTGTGGGTCATCATATGACTAAGACCTGCGTCAAGAAACACTTGTCCTGTTTCCTGACAGACTTTATACCAATGCTTCCGGCATGTCTGTTAGTGTTTGGGTTACTTGACGGCATCCAGAGGTCTGTTCTCCCTACTGTTGCTTATTGATGGAGCTGCGGCCTGTAGATAGAGCATCCAGGGTTCTGCTCCTTCTGCTGTTGCCTGTCAGAGTATTTAGTCTCTCTCTCTCTCTCTCTCTCTCTCTCTCTCTCTCTCTCTCTCTCACACACACAACTTTGCCTTGCAACGGAAGCTCACTGTGTGGACTCCTACAAAGTTGTTGGGTTCGATTTTCCCTGTTGCTGCAAAGTTCAGCTTCTCTCCCTATTTATCTTAAGTTGGGCCAGCTGCTAGAGTTCCCCCTATTTAACCCTTATCAGTAAGGTCGTGTATCCTCCAGTACGACACCGCAAGAACGACCCTCAAGTACTACACCATAAGAGAGATTCTCAACAGCCAGTACCATCCGGGTCACAAACCAGGTACAGCACCCTGGTGATTAAATTGCCTCCTTAATTGTGTTTTCTGTATTTTGTTTCGTTAGTGAAGCGGAGAGTCTCGCTAACCTCTCATAATGTAGAGAGAGAGAGATGGTCTTGCTTTCTATGTGAAAGTAGAGTTTTGTAACTCATAGTAAGGGGAATATACTAGCTATTTGTAAGTTGAGGGAGAAACGGCAGATACAGGGGTGAAAGATTACGATGGAGAGAGAAAGGATGAAATAGGAAATGAGGAAGAGTGGGAGAAAGGATGGATGTGAGAAATGGAGGAAGAGGTTTGAGGGAGAATGAAAGAGGGAGAAAGAAATAGTGAAAAAGTCTTCGTTCTTTGTATATCCCTCTCATTTTGTTACCTCCCATTTCCCCATCATTCTGGCTCCTTCCCTGTAAAATGTATTTTTAACGTAGTCATGTTGCCTCTGCTTGCCTTGTCTTCTAAAGTCAAGTTCACTTCCATTCTTGTCTCACCAGCCAGCGATCTCTGCTGAGCGTGACTGTTCAGTTGCAGTTCTTCATAATTTTTCTTGCCTTTTGACGCCTCTAAGGTGTGGGACGATGATCCTGACAGAAGCTGAATGTAAGGCCCGGAAATGCATTTTCTCGAAATTTCTGGTGACATTTCTAATGTTCGCTACTCTGGTGTGCAGCTCAAGGTACACACACAAGCTACGGAACAAACTTTTATTGGGACAACATTTCGCTATTATGGATTAAGACACATGTGTGGCAGTTGGGTATTTTTATTGATGAAACATTACGCCTACACAGTAGGCTTCTTCAGTCAAATACAGAGGCAGCAGCAGTAGTGGTAGTGAAATAAAGATGTGATGAGTCCAAGCAGTCAAGATACAAAACTGTTGTACATGTCTTAATCCCCAATCCAATATCTCGCTCAGTGACTCTATAAAGCTCTAGTCTAGACAGAGCGAAGCGTTGTCCTGATCAAACTTTTGTTTTTTTTTTCGTCAATTTATCATTCTCTTTAAACTTGTGGACAATACATAGTTTCATGCGAGGTACGAACGCCTCCTGGTTTTATTTTTCTTGTGATTCTCTCTCTCTCTCTCTCTCTCTCTCTCTCTCTCTCTCTCTCTCTCTCTCTCTCTCTCTCTCTCTCTCTCTTCTCTTCTCTCTCTCTCTCTCTCTCTCAATTTCTCGTCTATTTTTCATATTCTCATTGTTGTGTACACTTCAGAAAATAATTTTAAAAGACATAATTTTTTATTTTTTATTTTATGTATTATAAAAGAAAAAGACAAATATAATTGTATGAAGGTAATAAAAAAAGTTTTGTTTGTACGTTAGTATATATATATATATATATATATATATATATATATATATATATTATATATATATATATATATAAATTAGTTTCAGGTTTGCAAAAATATTAATACAATATATAGTTTATTTAAATTGGGCATTATTTATGTAGATGTTTACAGTTTTCTGATAGTTTCACATTCCTTGTGTTATGGTAATTCAAAAATATTTTTCATGGCGGCAGATACATTCGCTGAGTAAACATTGTGATTTTTTTTTCCCATTGCAGAAAGTGAAGTATGTGGCAGCCCCTTCCAACGAGGAGAGTTGCCTGGATCTGCAGAAGGAACGCAGAGACCTGGTGAGTATTGCGCTTCTGTCTCTCTCTCTCTCTCTTCTCTAGAGATTATATATATATATATATATATATATATATATATATATATATATTATATATATATATATATATATATATATAGTTGTGTGTGTGTAGTGTTTGTTGACGAATAGGTAAAACTTTCGATTTAACTTAAATAGCAACGCTCTTCTTTCTGAATAAGGCAAGAGAAAATTTGTGTATGCAATAATTTCGCAAAAATTATTCTGAACCTAACGAAAAAAATATGTATGTCAATGTATTTTTCTTAAATTATTGTAATCTTACCTAAAATATATTTAGTTGCATTAATCTAAATTAAATTGCGTTTGTTATAATAAGGTTAAGGAAGGCTTTTTCTAAGGTTCTTTTGGTACAAAATTATTAATTTTTACATTAAAATAAATAAAAATATATCTTTAAATGTATAAGAGAATTTTTTGGAATGGACTTAATTTTAAATGAATTCTTGCTAACTGACCAGTTTTATGTATTCGGCACTATATATATTATATATATATATATATATATATATATATATATATATATATATATATATTATATATATATATATATATATATACATTTGCCTTCTTGTCAGCCCCTCCTCCCTATTCCTCCCAGAGACCAGTGTAGAAAGGAGGAGGGAGAGAAGGTGCCAGTAAAGATTAATGAGCGTGGTTGAGTAGCGGCTGGGAGACAGCATGTTGGTGAGACGTAACTGGTATTGACACTGTGTGATGAAGAGGCAGCTGCTGCCGTATGTTGAGAAGGGGGGGAGAGAGGGTAGTGGAGAGTTAAGATAAAAATAGATGTAATAAAGGGGTAAGTAGGGGAAATGCAGCTTGAATAAAAGGAAGAGATGAGAGAACAGATGGTTAGTTGGAGGCAAAGGGTGGAAACTAAAGATAGAGGGAGGAAACAAAGGATAAGAGAAGAAACTGAAGCTGTGAGTGGTAAAAAAAAAAAGCGAGTGAAAGCGGTAAGTTAACACAGTGAATACACACTTCATTCTTTCTCCTTAATTACCTCGTAATTAGTGATTACGAGGGAGATATAACAAAGTATGATTGAATGTGTGTATGCGTGAGCGCACGCGCGCGCGCTTAATGCATATCCACCCTCCTAAACTTCCCAGCGCTGAAATCACCCCATGCTAATTTAGAGTTTTTGGCGATCCGTGCGCTCAGGCGCCACAGACCAAGAGCTAGAGCTCTTCTCCGTGCCCTCAAGGGAAGGTTACTTGATGCCACTTAAGGGAGGGAGGATTGAACCCATTCCTCAGGCGCTGTGACCTATACGGGTTTATCGCTTTCCCATGATTATTGTATTATAGTACCGCAATAATAATGATATAAAAAATAATAGTAATACTAAATTAATAATATTATCCACTGGGTGCGTTATTTTCCTTGTATATTTAACTGTTCCCGTAACATCACTATAATAATATAGGAAGAATATTGACAAAAGTAATATTGCGTTTCACGGAGAGTGAACTCAAAAAAAAAAAAATTATTTTTTGATCAGCCTGTGAACTATATTAAAAAACAAATATGAACTCATTAAACGTCGTCAGGTAATATTTTTGCACGCAGCTTGTTCATCAAAATAATTAACTGCGTTCAATGACTCGTTTATGAACACAGGTGTAATTAGATTCATTTTTTTTTTCGGGTGTTGATAGGAGGAGGAAGGGTGTTGTGTTTTTGTAGTATTTTTGTCTGTTTTTTTTTCTCTTTCAACATCTGTCCGTGTAAACTTTTGACATCTGTCAGTGGACGTTTGACACCTGTCAGTGAACTTTTTATAAGCTGTCAGTGAAATTTCAATACCTGTCGGTGTACCCTCGATACCTGTCTGCGAGTCTTCACTGCCTGTCAGTGAAGCCTCAGCACCTGTCAGCGAAATTCTAACACCTGCAAGTGAAAATAACATCTGCTAGTGTATATTTTACGCCTGTCATTGAACCCTTAACACCTGCCACTATAATGATGTATTAGACACGTGTGCAACACTTTGGTATCTTTATTGAGGAAACGTTTCACCACGCAGTGGCTTCATCAGTCGTATACAAAGAAGAATGGTGAAGATCAGAAGGAGTTTGAGGTAATCAGTCCTTGAGCCTGGAGTCGATGTAATCATTTATGTCCACTGTGAAATCGCCTCCTACTGCTTCCTCACCTTTTTACAGTATATAAGCAGCTTCTCGCATATGCTGTATTCTTTTCAAGATTGATGGAGTTATTACATCGACCCGAGGCTGAGGGACTGATTATCTCAAACTCCTTCTGATCTTCACCATTCTTTTTTGTATAGGACTGATGAAGCCACTGTGTTGCGAAATTTTCCTCAATACAGATACCAAAGTGCTGCACATGTCTAATTCAACTTGAAGGTCTCTGAACCATTTATCAGTACACCTGTCACTATCCTTAACTCCTGTCAGTCCTCTCTCTCTCTCTCTCTCTCTCTCTCTCTCTCTCTTCTCTCTTCTCTCTCTCTCTCTCTCTCCTCTCTCTCTCTCTCTCTCACACACACACACACACACACACACACACACACACACACACACACACACACAGTCCCAGCTGTGGCATAAATCTGTCACCTTGTTACGCAGTCCTCAACTTCACCTCTCTCCGGTTCCCACCTCAAAAAATGACCAGTTTGACCAGATGTTTACCAGGTTTCTGTTGTCATTCTCTTCCGGAGGGTCGAGTTTACAAGGAGTTTGTGTCCGGAACTTTTAAGGAAACGGCCTTTTGTGCCTCCTCCTTCTTTGTTCTCATCTTTTTCATATTCCTGTTCGTCCTTGTCATCTCATCGCCTCCTCCCCTTTCTATATATTTTTCTCTCTCCTTACTCTTTCCCCGCCTCCACTTTCTCCACGCTTGCTACTCCCCTTCCTTCTCTTTCCTCTTCCACCACTTCATCTATCCTTCCTTGCCTCATCTAACTTCTCGCCTCTTCGTTTTCCTCTTCGCCTACTGGACTGTTCTTCGCCTCCTCCTCCTCCTCCTCCTCCTCCTCTTCTTCCTCCGTCCCTACATCTCCTCCATTTCCTCCACCGGCCCATAATTTCGAAACTTGTCGAAAAAATCGCCGCTTTTGTCTAAAATTGGAAACGTTTAGGTGATTCCTGAGTGTGTTGACGCCTGCGCTGGGCAGGGACTGAGGGAGGGATTCTTGGAGAATGGGGAATTGTTGGGGATTGTTAAAGATTGTTGGGAATGAAAATTGTTGGGGATTTTTAAAGATTGTTGGGAATGGAAATTGCTGGGGACTGAGGTGAGTATCAACAGTAAATTTCATCATAGTGAAATATATATTTTTTCGTTTAATTCAGAATGATTTTTGCGAAATTATTGCATAGACAAATTTTCACTTGTCCTATTCGGCAAGACGTGCGTTACTATTTAAGCCGAAATCGCAAGTTTTACTTATTCGGCACGACATATACATGTATATGTATTATACACTCACTCACCTAGTAATATTTAATATAACCATTTTTCATCGTCTTGAACACACAGCAGCAACACACACGTCATGTCAGTGTCACTGAGGCGGGTCAGTTCAGGTCGGGCACAATGCCACCCCGTCAGCGAGAGCCATAGTGGCACTCCGTCAGCGACAGGCATAGTGCTACTCCTACTAATGGAACGCGCTAACAATACGTTATCCCTGATGCCATAATAGGTCAGTTCTAATCAACTGGTCATTTGCATTAAGTAATTTATTTTATGCATACTCGTTTGAAGTCAAATTATATATATATATATATATATATATATATTATATATATATATATATATATATATATATATATACATATATATATGTCGTGCCGAATATGTAAAACTGGTCAATTAGCAAGAACTCATTTAAAATTAAGTCCTTTCTAAAATTTTCTCTTATACGTTTAAAGATATATTTTTTTCATTAATGTTAATGTAAAAATTTTTAATTTTGCTCCAAAAGAAACTTAGAAAACTTGCCTAACCTTATTATAACAAGAACAATTTATTTTAGCCTAACCCAACTAAATATATTTTAGATTTGTTTACAATAATTTAATACTAAATAAACATAGTGACATACATTTTTTTCGTTAGGTTCAGAATGATTTTTGGCGAAATTATTGCATACACAAATTTTCGCTTGTTCTATATGGCAAGATGAGCGTTGCTATTTAAGCCAAGATCGCAAGTTCTGCCTATTCGGCACGACATATATATATATATATATATATATATAATATATATATAATATATATAAATTATATATATATATATATATATATATATATATATATATATAATATATATAATATATATATATATATATATATATATATATATATATATATATAATGTCGTGCCGAATATGTAAAACTGGTCAATTAGCAAGAACTCATAAAAAATTAAGTTCTTTCTGAAATTTTCTCTTATACATTTAAAGATATATTTTTTCAATAATGTTAATGTAAAAATTTTTAATTTTGCACCAAAAGAATCTTAGAAAACTTACCTAACCTTATTATAACAAGAACAATTTATTTTAGCCTAACCCAACTAAATATATTTTAGATTTGTTTACAATAATTTAATACTAAACAAACACAGTGAAATAAAATTTTTTCGTTATGTTCAGAATGATTTTGGCGAAATTATTGCATACAGAAATTTTCACTTGTCTTATATGGCAAGATGAACGTTGCTATTTAAGCCAAGATCGCAAATTCTGTTTATTCGGCACGACATATATATATATATATATATATATATGTCGTGCCGAATATGTAAAACTGGTCAATTAGCAAGAACTCATTTAAAATTAAGTCCTTTCTAAAATTTTCTCTTATACGTTTAAAGATATATTTTTTTCATTAATGTTGATGTAAAAATTTATAATTTTGCACCAAAAGGAACTTAGAAAACTTACCTAACCTTATTATAACAAGTGCAATTTATTTTAGCCTA